AGGTGATTACTTTGACGCAGTTGGCCAGCTTAAACATGTATTGCAATATGTATGTACTGAAAATTCCTATTTTTATTGCAAAGTTTGCTGGAAAGGTTATACAGCAGTGTGCAGTGGGTTCTTCCTGAATTTCTAGTGTTAACATGTGGCTACACTCCTTTTAGCACCCGATAGATAAATGCATGTACAAGCTATTGGGATTTGAGCACAGGTATATTTTGTTTCTCTTCCAAAAGCTAGTCGCTTTTGGGTAATCTTGGGAAAGTCAAATTGTTTAGGGCAGTGGTTTCCAAACTGTGGCCCTTTGCTTGCCTTTATCTGGCCCTTAAGGCAATATTCCTGCGACTGACACCAACAATGGGGTATAATTCCTGCCACTGACACCAATAATTGGGCACTCTTCCTACTACTGACACCAATGATGGGGCACTATTTCTTCCACTGACACCAATGATGGGGCATAATTCCATCCACAGACAACAAAAATGGGGTACCATTCTCCCAATGACACCAGCTATTTCTCCCCCTAATACTAAAGATCAGGCTTTGTTTACTCCCACTGGGTATAGTCTGCCCCCCCTAAAGTCTACACTAAACTGGCCCTTTCTTTAGAAGGTTGGGAGACCCCTGGTTTAGGGAATTAGGAATAATTATTTTTCTGTGGGAGCTAATTGAATCATGCTTTAGGGGTTTTGGTGTCTTCCTCTGGATCAACTGAGGGTGTATGCTTCTAAGGATATAAGGTTTTTTTTGTTTTTTTTTATTCAATGTTGAACTTGATGTACGTGTGTCTTTTTTAAGCCTAATTAACTATTGATGGGCTGAACACCCCACTGTTCAGTACGCGGCCAAACATTTGAACCTACCGAAAATTCGACCTCGAACTTTGAACAGGGGCAATTTACCGAACGGTATCTTACCGTGTCTGAGTATGTGGTAAGATACTGCTCATTTACTAAAATACTGCATGAGTTATATTATTAAGTCATGCGGTAGTTTACTAGTGAAACATTCATTCATATTTCAGCTGTAAGTGGGATTCCCCAGTGACAGCTAAATGTAAAAAGAATTGTCAGCATTGCAATAAAAATAGAAACGGCATTGGGTCCCGCCTCCCATCCATAACAAGCCCTTCAGGTCTGGTATGGATTTTGAGGGGAACCCCCCATGCCAAAATAAAAAAAATGGAGTGGGGGTTCACCCCCCCAAGATCTATACCAGACCCTTATCCGAGCATGCAGGTCAGGAAAGGGGGGGGGCGAGCGAGTGCCCCCCACGAACCATACCAGGCCACAGGCCCTCAACATGGGGGGTGCTGTGGGGCAGCAGGGGCTACCTCCCTAAAGCAACTTGTCCCCATGTTGATGGGGACAAGGGCCTCTTCCCCACAACATTAGCTGGTGTTTGTGGGGGTCTTATTGGAATCTGGAAGCCCCCTATATCAAGGGGGTCCCCAGATCCCACCTCCATGTGAAAGAATATGTGGTACATGGTACCGCTGCCTATTCACTAAAAAGTCCTTTATTAAAAACAAAAATAAGATAAATGTCCACCGCAGTAGATCCAACGTCAATCACGATGCCCGCTGCACTGCAATGACAGTCCTTAAATAGGGTAATGACGTCATGAGGGGCAGGATCACCCTGCCCCTTGCAAAGTCATCATGCCCCGTGATTGGCCAAAGCATTGCACCTGACCTATGGTCAGATGCAGTGCTTTGGCCAACAACTATGCATTGTCAGGGCACAGTGCATTGTGGGGAGCGGCGTGGAGAAGAGCCTGCCGAATGCCTGTGCCATTCATGTGTTCACCGAACACATGAACAGCCTATGTTTGAGTTGACCTTACATTTGACTCAAACATGCAGCCCATCATCATTGGCTGTTTGTGTGTTTGCCTAACACTCGAACTTATAGGGGGTTCAGCGGGGAGTTTGTACTCCATAATGCAATACGCTACGGCACATTGGGATTGGCCAAAGCATTGCACCTGACTACAGGTCAGATGCAGTGCTTTGGCCAATCACAGCTTGAGTTCACAGGAGGAGCCATGATTGGCCAAAGCCTTGGTGACTTTGGCCAATCATGGCTCAGGGGCCAAATCCATGGCCAAAATATATATAAATCTGCTTATACAGCAGTGTTGTGTAGTGTGTGATAGGGGCAGCTTTGCGTGGTGTTATAGGGGCAACCTTGCGCGGTGTTATAGGGGCAACCTTGCGCGGTTTTATAGGGGCAGCCTTGCGCGGTGTTATAGGGGCAGCTTTGCGCAGTGTTATAGGGGCAGCTTTGCGCAGTGTTATAGGGGCAGCCTTGTGCAGTGTTATGGGGCAGTCTTGCACAGTGTTGTGTTGTAGCGTCAGACTTGCGCAGTGTTATAGGGGCAAAAAAAAAAAAAAACAGTTTTTATAGAGCATCAAGCACAAACATATTGCACCAAAATCCCATCCCACACAAAAAAATAAAAGTGATATAAATCCCCTAAAAAAAATCCACATCAAGTCCAAAAGGCCACAAAGGAGAGTCAGCTGCTCACAGGCAGCTAAGAGAGGGCAAGCAGCCTCTGTGTCCACAGTGAAAAGTGGTGGTCAAGGGCATGGTGTATCCTCTGCAGACAGGGCACGCTTGTCCTTTTTTTCCGGTGAGGGCCGTATTATAGAGCCACAACATGCAGAAAGAGGTGGTGGAGTGGATAACAAAGCCATCCTAATCCTCTTCCATCTTCTAACACCAAGGCTCATACTATTTTGCCTTTCTCCGCAGCTGCCAAAGCAGCCTATTCCACAGACTCCTTGTCCAACACAGATGCCCCACCATCATGCATGGAGGAGTCAACGGAATTATTTGATCATAGTGTCATTTATATGCTGCTGGAGGATGTACAGCAATTTGAATACTCTGATGGTGGTTCTCAGGTTCATGAAAGGAGTGATGTGAGCGGGGGTGCCAGTGAGGGCAGTCATGTTCCCCCAGCCTCAGCACACTGCCAAGTTGGTTCCAGTGACTAGGAGGAAGGGGATGATGAGGTCACTGACTGCACTTGGGTGCCTGAGAGAACAGAGAAGGTAAGTGAGGAGGAGGCACAACTCCAATGAGGCAGGATGTCCTCCAGGGGCAGGCGTAAGGACAGCCAATCGATGGCATCATACGACAGAGCTCAATGCAGGTGCAGGGTGCTGCTGACTCCCAGCAGACTTCCAAAAGTTCTCTGGTGTGGGCTTTTTTCAACACGTGCAGCAGACCACAGCATTGCTGTTTGCAATCTCTGTCTGAGGCAGATCAAGCATGGCCAAAACATCAGCTGCTTGGGTACCACATGCTTGACAAGACATATGATGAGCTGCCATGCAGCCCCTTGGCAACAGCACCTGAAAGACCCACTTCCAAAAAAAGTGCAGACTTCTTCTTGCTCCTCATCTGGGATCTCTACTTCTACTCCAAAACATCAGGTCTTCTCAACAGCCTCCACTGAGAGGAGTGATGGTACAGCAGTGGGTGCCACAGGTCGTGCCACCCCATCTGATAGTAGTACACCACCTATTGATTTCAGCAGGCAAATTTCTGTTTCAATATTTTTATTAAGAAAGTTTTTGTTTTAAGAATATAACAAGCTCAAGATACGCCCACGCAGGGGCAGAGCAAAATAATAACACATAAACAGATACATCCTGCTGACTTGTATTAGCCAAATAATGAAATGTCCAATGACATCAAGGAGGCATCAGCAGGCAAATTTTACCCCAGTTTAAGAATCGTAAAAAAAAAAATACTGTCCCACCCCCTTTAACATGCTCAGCGTCAAAATGCTAGCATTGCCAAATTGCTAGCCTTACAACTGCTGCCTTTCATCTGGTGGACACAGAATGTGCTGTACCACAGTGGCAAGTTCCATAAAGTGGTCCAGCAGGCATGGTCAGGGAAGTTACATATCCTTCACACGGCACACTGGGTAACTCTGCTAGCAGCTTTGAAGGATGCAGGACAGGGTTCAGTGCTGGATCTTGTTCCACCACCATGCCTCCAAAAAGTTAGTGGTGATTCTGCCACATCTGTCTGCTCCACCCTCTCCTCTTCCTCTGCCTCTATGGCCTCTTCTGCTGAATTGTCATCTGAATCAGCAGTGCTTCATAAGCATTCAAAGGACTTACGCAAGCATTCAGTCTAAAAGATTCCACGCAGTGCTTCAACTGGTCTGTCTAGGGGACAGAAGCCACACCAGGCCAGAGATTCTGTCAGCTCTGCAGGGGTAGGCAGAGGTGGTTGTTGCCATGGCAGGGTGAGCCAGGAATGGTTGTATGTGACAATGGCACCAACCTTCTCTCCGCCCTCCAACAGGGACACTTGACACATGTTTCATGCTTGGCACACGTCCTGAATTTGGTGGTGCAGCATTTCTTGAACAGGTACCCAGGCTTTCAAGATCTTCTGAGGCAGACCAGAAAAGTCTGTGGCCATTTCTGGAAGTCATACACGGGCCATGTTTGGCTGGCTGAAATTCAACGGGAATTCAAACTGCCCACCAACCGACTCATTTGTGACATGCCCACTCGGTGGAAACTCAACTTTGGCAATGCTGCAGCTGCTGCACAAGAAGCAGAGGGCCATCAATGAGCATCTGTGTAAATATGGAACAAGGACAGGCTCAGGGGAGCTTGGCTTCTTTTCGATTACGCCAGTGGCTGCTGATAAAGGATGCATTCACTGTCCTGTCACCATTTGAGGAGGCCACAAGGATGGTGAGCCGCAACATTGCATGCATCAGTTACACTATCCCTCTAGTCTTCCTGCTGGAGCAAACGCTACGTGGAATCATGGTGTCAGGGCTCCCGGGTGTGACCAGAGGTATGTGACTGACGCAGGGAAACGCAGACTTCAGATATGTTATAAACAATGTAATTTATTAACACTAACAATACAAACATAAAACGCAGTGCAATACTAAAACATAACACAGTGCAAACAAAACAAAACCAAACCACCCACAGATAACAGTACATACAATGCAAGCGTCGTCAGGCAGGCAGGCCGGGTCAATATCAATCGGGCAGGTAGGTACAGGGGGGAGCAAGCGGAGAATGGTCGGGGTCACAAGCCAGGTTCAGCAGGTAGCGGGCAGCGTGGTACAGAGGGTCAGGCAGAGGAGAATGGTCAGACAAGCCAGGGATCAGGAGCAGGAGAATGGTCAGACAAGCCAGGGATCAGAGCAGGGTCAGCAGAGAATCAGACAGGAACAGGGAACAGGAACAGGATACCAGGGCGGCCCAGGATGGAGAAACATACACCAAGGCAGAGTCTGCAGGTCTGGCCATCCCTTAAATACCCCAGTGTAAGCAGTTTCAGGTGTTTAGCTGGCTGCAAGGTTGAGATCTCTGATTGCTGGGAGCACCCGCTGGCCAGCCCCGGTACTGCACCCATAAGGCAGGCGAGTCCCACCATTGCTGGCCAGTCCATTCCTGACAGTACCCCCCCTCAAGGAGCGGCCTCAGGACGCTCCAAACAGTCCTAGCTGGGCAAAATGTTCCACCGCCCGGGTCTGGTAACTGGCGGGATATCAAAGACTGGCACACCGGGCAGGACTCCGGGCAGCGGCACACCGGGCAGGGGCACACCGGGCAGAGGCACACACACCGGGCAGAGGCACACCGGGCAGAGGCACATCGGGCTGGACTCCGGGCAGAGGCACATCGGGCTGGACTCCGGGCAGATAGAGGCACATAGGGCTGGGACTCCGGGCAGCAGGCACATCGGGCTGGACCCCGGGCAGAGGCACATCGGGCCTGGACTCCGGGCAGAGGCACTCCGCAGAGGCGCGGCACACCGGGGCAGGAGGCACTCCGGGCAGAGGGCACACGGGCTGGACTACGGGCAAGAGGCACATCGGGCTGGACTCCGGGCAGAGGCACATCGGGCTGGACTCCGGGCAGAGGCACATCGGGCTGGACTCCGGGCAGAGGCACATCGGGCTGGACTCCGGGCAGAGGCACATCGGGCTGGACTCCGGGCAGAGGCACATCGGATTACCAGGCGAATCAGCAGGCAGCGGGCCACCAGGCGGAGCAGCAGGCACCGGGCCCACCAGGCGGAGCAGCAGGGTACCGGGCCAACCGGGCGGGAGCAGCAGGCACCGGGCCCCCGGTCAGGGCGACAGGCATCGGGCCCCCAGGCGGGGCGACAGGCACCGGGCCCTAAGGCGGAGTAGCAGGCACTGGGCCCCCAGCAGAGTAGCAGGCACCGGGCCCCCAGGCGGGGGGGCGACAGGCGTCGGCCCCCAGGGGGGCGACAGGCGTCGGGCCCCCAGGCGGGGGCGGGGCGACAGGCATCGGGCCCCCAAGCGGAGCGGCGGGCCCCCAGGGAGGGGCGACAGGCATCGGGCCCCCAAGCGATGGGAAGCGGCGCGGCACCGGGCCCCCAGGGAGGGGCGACAGCATAGGGCCCCCAGGCGGAGCAACGGGCACCGGACCCCCAGGCGGAGCGACAGGTCTCGGGCCCCCAGGCGGAGCGGCGGGGCGCCCAGGACCGGACCCCCAGGCGGGAGCGACAGGTCTCGGGCCCCCAGGCGGAGCGGCGGGCGCCGGACACCCCAGGCGGAGCGGACAGGTCTCAGGCCCCCAGGCAGAGCGACAGGTCTCAGGCCCCAGGCGGAGCGGCGGGCGCCGGACCCCCAGGCGGAGCGGCGGGCGCCGGACCCCCAGGCGGGGAGCGGCGGGTCTCGGGCCCCCAGGGCGGAGCGGCGGGCACCGAGTCACCAGGCACGACAGTGGGCTCCGAGTCAACTGGCAAAGACTGCGGGCACCGAGTCAACTAGGCAAGACTGCGCGGCACCGAGCCAACTGGCGGAACAGCGGGCACCGAGTCGTCTGGCAAGACTGCGGGCACTGAGTCGTCTGGCAAGACTGCGGGGCACCGAGTCGTCTGGCAAGACTGCGGGCACCGAGTCGTCTGCAAAGACTGCGGGCGGCACCGAGGTCAAACTGGCGGAAACAGCGAGCATCGAGTCAACTGGGCGGAACAGCGGGCTTCGAGTCGTCTGGCAAGACTGCGGGGCACCGAGTCGTTGGCAAGACTGCGGGCACCGAGTCGTCTGGCAAGACTGCGGGCACCGAGTCGTCTGGCAAAGACTGCGGGCACCGAGTCGTCTGGCGGAAACAGCGGGGCATCGAGTCAACTGGCGGAACAGCGGGGGGCATCGAGTCATCTGGCACCAAGACTGCGGGCACCGAGTCGTCTGGCAAGACTGCGGGCACTCCGAGTCGTCTGGCAAGACTGCGGGCACCGATTTTCGTTTGGCAAGACTGCGGGCACCGAGTCGTCTGGTTTTTTTTTTTTTTTTTTTTTTTAAGATGCGGGCACTGAGTCGTCCTGGCAAGACTGCGGGCAACCGAGTCACCAGGTATGACAGGGGCACTGGGTCACCAGGCATCAGGTCATTTAGACTCGCCAGCGGGCACCTGCGGTCATCTGGCAAGGCAGCATGGGCACCGGGGTCACCAAGCATTGGATCGTCAGGCTGGATCAGTTCATCATGCTTGGGTAGAGGCATCAGGCTGAATGCAGGCATCCGGATGAGTAAAGGCATCAGGCCTGAGTAGAGGCATTCAGGCTGAATAGAGGCTTCAGGCTGAGTAGAGGCTTCAGGCTGAGTTGAGGCTTTTCAGGCTTTGACACACGGAAGGCAGGGTTTCACCGGTTTGGATACTGGCTGGATGGATGGTATTTGGTTGGAAAGAATTTTCGCTTTTTTCTGGTTTTAACTACTGGAGCACTGCAAGTAAACGCAGGTCTGCAAACGAATGGAGCAGCTGGAGACAGAGAAGAGCTGGAGGATGGAACAGGGGAGGGGGCAGTTGCTACAGAGGACTTCTTTACAGGGTTAAAGGCAGGATAGGTGCAGCGAGTGGGAACAGGGTACTGACATGCGGTAGATAGCAGGGCAGGAGGAGCTGTTGGGAATGCAGGAATAGAGCTTTGAGGAAATAGATTAGAAGCAGGACTGGGTTTTTGTAAGCTGACTGAGGCTGGGTGCAACAAATCTGTCCATGTCTGCAGTATGGGTTGAACAAAGCTGAGCTTACACAAAGCCTGTCTGACTAAAGACTGCACTGCGTTTTATACAATCTCTTAGTGTCTGTGGTGAACATGCAGCATATGCTCCAAGAAGCAATCCACATCATCCTCCCTCTAATAAACCATACCAGGGACTCTACCTGGTCAGCACTAAATGGGGGCCAAAAAAATTCATCCCTGCATTCGGGATCTGGTACCAGATGAAACCAACTCCGCACAAATCTGGAATCAATGGCTGCACCCTCAGAGAATTTCTGTGCCCTGATTCTACTAGAACATGAGCGAGCCGTATTACATAATACGCAACCTCATCCAGATCCATCCTTCCCATCAACAAACCAAGATGGCTTCCCTGTGCAGCCACTTCTGGTCAGGATTGGCCTTGGTGTAATGTCAGGGCTCCCGGGTGTGACCAGAGGTATGTGACTGACGCAGGGAAACGCAGACTTCAGATATGTTATAAACAATGTAATTTATTAACACTAACAATACAAACATAAACGCAGTGCAATACTAAAACATAACACAGTGCAAACGAACCAAAACCAAACCACCCACAGATAACAGTACATACAATGCAAACGTCGTCAGGCAGGCCGGGTCAATATCAATCGAGCAGGAAGTTACAGGGGGAGCAAGCGGAGAATGGTCGGGGTCACAAGCCAGGTTCAGCAGGTAGCGGGCAGCCTGGTACAGAGGGTCAGGCAGAGGAGAATGGTCAGACAAGCCAGTGATCAGGAGCAGGAGAATGGTCAGACAAGCCAGGGATCAGAGCAGGGTCAGCAGAGAATCAGACAGGAACAGGGAACAGGAGAAACATACACCAAGGCAGAGTCTGCAGGTCTGGCCATCCCTTAAATACCCCAGTGTAAGCAGTTTCAGGTGTTTAGCTGGCTGCAAGGTTGAGTCTCTGATTGCTGGGAGCACCCGCTGGCCAGCCCCGGTACTGCAGCCCATAAGGCAGGCGAGTCCCACCATTGCTGGCCAGTCCATTCCTGACACATGGACAGGGCACTTGAGGTAGAACAGCGGAGGAAGAGAAGAATTTCCTGTCCTTTTAAGGCCCCCTTTATGCTGAAACCATTCCTGCGGGGCTGCAGAACACACAGCAGGAGAAGGAAGAGGAGGAGGATTGCAGCAGCATGAAAGTAGAGGATAACATACAGCAGTCTTCAGGTGGCAGTTTTCAGTCCCCAGAAACCCAGCCAGGAGTAGTATGTGGCTGGGAGGAGGTAGTTCCTGACAATGTCATCCTCAGTGACCCAGAGGACTCAGAATCTCCTGCCTCTTTAAACATGGGCTCCCTGATTCTGCAAAGCCTGCGCAAGGACCCGAGGATTTGTGTAATTAAGAAGAGGGATCAATACTGGTTGGCAACCATTCTTAATCCTTGTTACAAAGGTAAAGTTGCAGAGCTCATCCAGTCTTTGCAGAGGGAGCAGAGGATGAAACACCCTGAGGACGCCCCTGAAAAACAAATTTGTGTAACACCTTCCACACAATGGGAGGTTACCATTTCCTGGACAATGTGTTTATGAAGCTACATTCTGTCAAAGGAAGAGTGGTGGAGAAAGCGGCCGGCTGACCAATGCCTTTAAACAGTTCTTTAGTCCTCAGCACCCAGGGCTTTTAGGTTTAAGCACCCATCGGCAGTGTATGCATCATATGGTGCAGGATTATCTAGGGGCAAGAGCAGACTTGGAGACCTTTCCAAATGAGCATCCACTGGGTTACTGGGTTTTGAGACTGGATCACTGGCCAGAACTTGATCAATAAGCCATCTAGCTACTGGCCTGTCCTGCATCCAACACGCTTTCCGAACGGACATGCAGTGCTGCTGGAGGTTTTGAGATGGATAAAAGAGTGCGTCTGTCCACAGACTCCGTTGACTAACTGACATTTATCAAAATGAAACAGTCCTGGATCAACAGCAACCTGATGCTCCTGATGCTGATGTAACTGATTACATTTGCTAGGGATCTGGGATCCCTTGAAGACTGCCTATTCTATTCCTGAATCCTGATTTTGCTAGCTTCCAACAATTTTTTTTGGTTTAGGGCACAATCAACACCCAAGGCACAATTTTTTGGCACCTGTTTTTACAGGTGCATGTAATTTCATCTTTTTTTTTTACCATTTTTCTCTAATTGTTAACAATTTTTAACTGCAGAGCCCATGCCTGCACCCAGTAAGAGTAACTGAGGGGTTACAGTGTTCAGGCACCACCACGCTCAATTTTCTGCACCTGTATGACAGGTGCATATAAACTGAATTTTTAGAGCAGGGTCCAATCCTGCACTCATCAAGAATAACTCTGAAGGGTTACGGTGTGAAGGCACCACTAACTGTTCACTCGCTAAACACCCCACAATGCACTGTGCTCCCACAGTGCACAGT